AAAAGGTATAAGATTACATTTCTGAAATAGTTTCTAAAATGATGCGATAATAAATAAAAGACATATTACCACTATTATACTTATGATAATGGCAATCTTGATTTTCCGCTGTAAGATAATATAGTTAATATAGTTATTATAATATCATCCTATCAAAAATAACTGAGCATTCAAGTGTTTAAAATACCTTTCGATATCTGTGACTTCTCTGTTCTGACTTTCTGAGTTGAACACGTCCGCCGTCGATATTATCTGAGGTTTTATTAGCAAAATATTATATATTATTAATTTGTTCTCCCTAGAAAAGATTCTAAATATATATATATATAAATATTTTCTAAGTTCACGTTTAGTAATGCTACATAATTCATAAGATATAATTTTGTTATCAACAGCACTCACCTGTTTTTCGACTAGAAATGCTATTTCTGTAAACATATCTTTGATTTCTGTGAGAGATTTTTCCAATTTTAAAACATCATTATGTCTATTTGTTATATCTGATAATTGTTGCCTAGCTATCTTACTATCTTCTAAAATCTGCATAATTAATCAGATATTTGATACAAATAAAAAGATTTGTAATAAATATTGAATAAATTCATATTTACATTATCGACAAATAAGCTAGTTTCCTGAGCATCGAGCATATAATCCAATTCCGCGCTAGTAACTTGTCGCCTTACTATTCAACAAATAGTTTAATTAATAAATAATATATATATGCGTTATATTATAAACAATTTTTCTAATTAGCCTCTTATCATTTAAATTTAATAATTATAACAATATAATATTAAGGATTTGTAAATATAAATATTATGTAAATATATATGTATTCTTAAAAACATACGTAAAGAACGTTGTTGCTGCAAGAGTAAGAGGCACTTATCATGATATTTCAGTAACGAGGCATTGTAATCATCCATAATATCAGAAAACATTTGCAGCATAGTTGTATATTGCAACGTTCTAATTCTTGTGTATATATCGTATACAGGTTCATCTTGTGCTAAAGTCAAATCGTCAATGGCAATGATACCTTTTCCCATATCTACAAAGGATGCATAAATTGTAAGTAGAATTAATAAATAAGAACAAATGTATTAACACACACCTAAATTGAACATATTGGATAAATGCAATATTTATTATAATCAAAACAAAATTAATAAGAAAAAATTCACAGACAATTAAGAGTCAACGCGGTAATTGGTGCGTACAAAATTCAAACGCTTTAATAATTAATTAAACATCCATATAATGTAATCGATCATAATACAATATTTACGAATTACGATTGATTACATAGTTCAATTATTCGTTACTGTTCTTTCTTTAGCAGTAAATTTAAATAAAATAAATAAGTAATCACGGGACTAGAATTGTACATAGATACACAAATTTGTTAATTCTCATTGATAAACATATTTAACTATAGAAAATTTTATTTGTATTAGACAATTTCTTATTCTAATTTTTATATAATAGCAGTTATATAATTATTTTATTATAAATACGTATATCAATATTAAAATTAATTGCATAGTAATTAATATGAACAAATATTAATCTATAATATCATAATAATTGTAATACATTTCTGAAGTTAAAATCTATTTATATAGATGTGTACTTATAATATAAATACAGAAGTTAAATCATGAAATCCTCAATATTTTTTATCGTGTTTTTAAGTAAACATGCAGCACAACATTTTATAATTCGAAATATTTGCTTTTCACTTGTACACTCAAATTAAATTAGTGTACAATGCCTTTAATGCAGTCAGTGCGCACAATATATATGTATAAACGTCCAAGAATTTGCTGTATGCAATCAAATAACACAACTATTCAAATTTTTTTAGGCCAATTTTTACCAATGTAGATCAACTTTAATCTCGAGGTAATTTACTCTTTTTCTAACTTTTAAAATCAGAGGAAAATAAAATAAGTTAATCTACAAATTAAAGTTAATCTATATCATCTATCGTACATTATTAGAAATAGACATGCAGCTGATTGGTCAGATTGGTTATTCAGTTTCCCGCTCGTATGGATGATAAACACTGATCGCTTGGCGCATCCTACAACGGCGATCGAAATGTTTTGTAATAAATTCTTCACGAAGGTAATTTTCGCTGGTCATTTGTACCATGAAAGCAGGAACGTAAAATCATTATCGATACGCTTGCAGATGATGATAACCTGAAACCCTGTCGATCTATCTGTTGCGCTATCGTGACGATAAGTTAAGGTTATATTTATGTCTGCGGGGGCCGCGATCACGAGGCAACACAATTGATAGTGACTGCATTTTGAAATCAGCACAGTCATGAAGTCGCTGCGTGTGTTTCATAATTTCAAGCTGGACATTCTTGACGAGAATTGGATCAAATCTGTCTGGGATACTGAGTTCGTCATCTATGACGAGCCGCCTGACGAGTGTCTCGAGTACCTGGAGAGCGACGATGTGAAGCGGCTGCTGCACGAGTCTCGCATCGAGTTGAAGGCATGGCTTGTCGCGAACGAGCACGAGACTCCCGAATTCTCGTGGCAGGCCTTGATGATGCTGAACATCAATATGCGTGGTTTGCTTGCCATGCTGGGTTACATAATGAAGACAGGCCAGCAAGAGACAGATAAAGACTCTAGGCAGGCCTGTCTGGAAGCTACAAGTTTGTATCTTATGTTCCTCACGATACCTGGCAGCAACGCATTCAGAGTTTATCATCCGAACTTGTACCAGAGAGCGATTGAGACATTGAAAATGTCAGAGAGCTTATTCTCCTCCGTTAAAAACAATAAAGGGATAAATATAACAAATTCGAGTATCGACGATGAATTGTCGTTCTGTTCCAGTCTGTTGCATTCCGAGAGATCGAGACTCATGCGAGGATTAGACAGGATTATTTCTGATCTCATTACAATGTTAAAATCATTTCGCTTTAAAGAACATGCCGAGTCCTTGGATGTTACAATACGCATATTGTTAAATATCACAAGACAAGAAATGTATATCAAGTCTCACGACAATTCTGGAATAACATCTTTATCTCAGAATGCATTTGCAGCTCTGCAAGAGCTATGCAGTAACAATCATGGTACTGTAGGTTTAACTATAACATTAATAGCGCAATACATGTTGCCTGATCTGTTATTTCACCACGTAAATGCCCAACCGAAGTCTATAACCATTGTACACGAAGCAGCCATATATTTTCTAAAAAATTTATTAACGATTCATGAGCAGGAAACCATGCAGGGAATCGTCACTTTAATACATCAATTAATGGTAAACTGTCCAGAAAGATTAGAAGGCCGTCAAAAGCAAGCGGGTGTTGTAATAAAACTGTTGAATATATGTAACGAAGTTATGATTCTCGGTATTTTTAGAGACATAGTATTATTCTCACATAATAATAAGATATCTTGTAGATTATTCGCGCAGGAAATTGTAGGAAAGCTCTTGACAGAATCTTCTCTATTAAACAACAATTTAAATAGAAATGTCAAGATGAAAATCAGAAGGATTTCGATAGCCATTGTAATGTCTCGCTGTATAGATCGCTCTGCTTTAGTGAGAGGAAGAGCTATGGCCACGCTTGCTTCATTCTCTGATTGCAACGATGACGCCGACAAGGCGATTTTTAAAAGTATATTCGAAGCTTCAGCCTCATCAAATAAAACGTTTCCCATGCTTGATGACTTAAAAGAAGCATTGTTAGAGGACGTTGATCTGCTACCAGGATCGGCCGCTTTAATTGCAATGTTGCTGGACAGAATCAGCGATGAGCGCGCACTGGTGCGACGAAGTGCTTTGAAGATCTCGAGAAATCTATCCATCATGTTCCCATCGCTAGTAAGTAAAATGATGCATGTAATAAGCGATCGTTGCAGAGATTCCACCTTGACTGTGCGCCAATTTGCCGTGCATGTTCTATCCGAGATTCTGCAGGAGTTTCCTCACAATTCAAGTCTTCTCGACGAATGGATACAGGCTGTTGTACCGCAGATATATGACATCGAGGTAAAAGTACAAGATAAGGTATTGGAATGTCTGGGAAACGTGTTGATAAATAGAATGACGAGCGTCACTAAGTATATTCCGAATGCTGCGAATAGTTTGCCGTGGAGGATTCTGGATAGATTGAGTAATCTGAGAATGAGGAAACATTTGTCGAAAGCTTGCAGCTTGTGGGTAAAGAACGGCGTTATTACCAAGTCTATGATATCGAATTTGCAATCGCACATCGGTACAGATAATACTGTAGGCGCGTGGATATTGTTAGCTGCTTTAGCTGAAAATATGAAAATTCCGAATATAGATAAATATATCGCGGATTATAAGCAAATTATTCGAAAGAACGATTTCCACGCCAGTTTAGTTTTACATGTTTTGAGGCATGCTTGGTCCATCTTGAATCATGATTGCCTTGAGGATCTCTATCAGCATCTTTACAAATGTATTTGCCACTTCGAAATCAATTTCAACTTAATCAGTATCTGTCTGGATATTTTAAATAGTATTTTACGATATTTACATGTCGATCAGAGCAGTCACGTGATAGAATCGGATATGGTGGAACTAATGAAATTGTCGGAGATAGAGATTCAAGATTTGTTAAAGGAGAACAGAAGTTGTACGCAAGACACAGTGAAAATCAGAGCTGTATTTACACTGAGTCACGCATCGCTTTTCTGCACCAACAAGATTTCGTCGTCAACTTTACGAATTTTTGAACGATTATTGTTGCAATGGGAATCGCTACCAGATACGATGAAAGAAATAAAGGATCTACAGGCATCCGCGGTGATCCTTCTTTGTCAGCAAGCGCTGAGAGATCGCGAAGTCGCGAAAAAAGTCACACCGATACTTGGTAACATAATGCGTCAAGAAACGAATTCATTAATAAAAACATCGGTGAAGATAAATGCTGCGAAAGCGTTAGCCGATATCTGCGTGAGATTTACTGCTCTTGTGGAGCCATATCTTCCGGACTTATGCATCAGCATGAAGGATCCGAATCCAGCCGTACGAGAAGCTATAGTGGTGATATTTATTGAGTTATTGCTTGAAGATTTTATAAAGATGAAGGGACCATTTTTCTTTCACATATTGACGATGCTGTCGGACACAAATAGCATGATACGCGAGTTAACGACCTTTCTAGTGGAAGAGAGACTTTTAATGAAGAACAAGACTTTGATTTCTCAGCAATTTCTGGAGAGCATATATCATTATAACAATTGTCGCTCCCGGAAAGCGTACTGCGGACACAGAATGCTCGAACAAGAAATGAAGGTTCTAACTCTGCCTGGAAGAGCAAATCAAGAGAAACGTAATGTCATTTATGAATTTATGTTGGAACATTTGGACATGTCCGCCAAGTCTGAACTCGTTGTGAAACTGACCAAGTATATACTTCGCGAGTTATGCGATGAGAATTCTATCGATGTTACGACCGAGGAAGGTGCATGCGTCTTGAGAGATGCAGTGTTCATACTCAACAATAATCGTTTGCAACTATCTCCTAGTGAAAGACATAAAGATGATACGGAGCTCGATGAAACAAGCTTGACTCCCTCAAGTACACCTAACAATGTTTTGAATGTCATTATAACGGCATTGAAAAAACATAATTTAGATATTTTATTACCTACGTTAATCACGCTTAAGAAGAAACTAGTTACGTTGAAGGAAGGAAGGTCCTCCTTGGAGGAAGATGTGGACAGATTGTTATTCAAGATTTACTCGGAATATGAAAAAGAACAGCTGGTCGATTTATTAGATGAATATCCTGAATTAGAAAAAGAAATGGATTCTTATCAACGGTATGTATGTCAGTTTATAAATGACTACATCATTTTTTTCTAATATATAATAAAATCATAAAGTTCTTACGCATACTGATTTTCTACAAAAGATAAAAATTAGCTTTGACTTAGTCTTAACGATTTGATTATGAAAGAGATGAATTGAAGTTTGTATATTTTTGCACGAAATTTTTTAATAATTTATTTCATCAAAAATACTATATAAATATATACTATATAAATATATGTTATGTAATTATGTAATGTTTCAGGAGACTGAAAGATAAAATTAATTCAGAAAACGATGACAGTCAAAGCAGTTCACCCAGTATAAGTAGCAAGGACTCAGCAGATGTACGTAAGCGAATACCCCGAGTTTTACTTCAGCGTATTTCGCCCTCGACATACACATCTGATAACGAGTTAATTACAAATCCGGTACATCTGGAAAGATTGTTGCTACAAACCCCACCTCCAGAGCCGAGCTTTAGTACTAGCACGCCTACAACGCAAAGTCCAAAATCGTATTCTAGCGATTTTCCCGCTAAAAGAAAAAGATCGAACGAGCGAGAAATGTCACCGAATATTTCTCGTAAAGATCTAAAGGTCAGCGATGACTGAACTAATTGATGTGAACTGATTAATGCCGATCTCTTTTAAATATCACGTCTATGGAATCAATGTACAAATTTACCTACCTCGTAACTTTCGCTGCACGTGAAAAGCCGTCTGCGAAATCGTACACGTGCGAATCTCTAATTCTTTTTGCAAATCTACAAATAGATATATGTATAAGTACATTATATTATGAATTGTAGATTTTTCATACGACTTTTGGATATTGCCACTTACCCTTACTCGTGTGCGATAGAATATTGTTATGCAAGTTCTTCACGATAGAAACATTTTCAACTGTAAGATGGATCAGATCACGTATTTCCTCGGCCTACATTAACACACTATGTCTCAATCATTCAATGAGAATATAAAATATATGATTTCATGATAACTCGATACGTACTTCGTCAAGTAACTCTTTAAGCTTTTTATTTTGAGCTATTTGAAGGTGTACGTCCTGCAAGAATCCTCTGCCAAAAGTACTGCTGTTGCTTCGGTTCTGGAAAAATTAGTACATTACGTGGTAATTCCGAGACTGTTCATTTGTGTGAAAATATTTTCGGTAAAAAGGTATATTATATAATCAAAAATAAATATTTATAATTACTATGTGTACACAATACTTCTGTATTGTGTTTTTTAATCATAAATGAATTTTAAATCATAATGTTAAGTTGATTCAAAAGCGAACAGTTTTTTTTTATTAAAATTTTTATTTGCACACATGATTCATGCGCCAACGTATTGTTCGAGACGGTATACTTTAGTAACTGGTCAAAGTTCTTTCTTTTTCGATACATTTCTAATAACTACAGAAAAAGTAAAAATACTAACGGCACGCAAATCAGCCATACGATCGCGGACCATGATGAGTATTCCTTTAGAATCGGCATGTAACTGATAATTCTGTGAGTGGAATAAATACAGTATGCTTCGTCTTATCTCTCTTATCAGTGCACTATGAATATCGAGTAAAATCCGTTCTGCCGTTTCGTACCTTGTCGATACATTATTAACGGAGAAACACTCTGCGAGTGCTTCTTCGACTGAAACGCGTGACACGCTTCTAACGTGTGCACATAGGTAGAAGATACTTTGCATCTGAAATGAAATAGGAAATGGGCACTTAGCAGTTGTGCGTCAGAAGGCCGTTGCAATTATACATTTCTTTATCTAATTTATTATTTAGAGAGCGATAGATTATGTTAGTGTTAAAAGATGTTATTTGTAAAATTATAATACTAAAGACGAGGTAATTACATTTTTAAAAGCAATTTTTATCACTCAACATTAATCATTGATTCTTTTTCTTGTGTCTAAAAGTTCATCTTTTTTCTTCTTTTTAATAATTAATTAATAAATAATATTTAATAATTAAAATATTAAAATTAGTAACGCTCATTTAAAATAAAATCATTTGATAAAAAACATTTTTGACACTAACTTAATATTAA